GCTGACATACGCAAAACGTGGCCAAGCCACCTTAGCTGAGGTAGAAAAACCAACTTGTGGGTCACACGCGCATGCCCTAAGACACGAAGTCGAACTTCATCATTAGAAATAAGTTGCTGCCACCACACACGAGCGATACTACTCAAGCACCCATTATCAAAAGAGGAGAGCCGGCGCACGTCATCGCACGAACTGGCCACGACTCACTTCCATATAGCAACACCGCCCGACTAACGCATCGCCAATGCAACGACAATGATGATAAGATATAATACAATATAAAAAAATAAATAAGCAGTAATATCAAGTAGTTGGACAACAGTATAACGCATAGCGAAATATTACAGTAAAATGAGCAACAAAAATGGTGATGACTAGTAAGGGATGGACAAAAATTGCACACGTCAGATGGGATAACTAGGAGTCCTAAATAAAGGAAAGAGCGTAACAGTGCCACTGACTTCGTTAGCGTTCCATATCTGATGGTGTAGAGGGCCACTGGTGTTTAGGAGTATCAGGACCCCATCCAGGGAGACGACAGGAGCGACGAATATCTGCAAATACCTTCTCCCAGTCAGCGGCTAGTCACCTGAGATTGCATCCAACTAGATGCAACGTTGGTAAACAATACACACCGAGTTCGTTGGCTAGTTGGCATTCGAAGATTAGGGTAGAAAGTACGAACATAACAGAAAGCACGAGTTGTCACTAGAAAATCTTGCTACATACAAGCTGGCAACTTTGACCATTACTCAATCGGTGCTTCAGAGCAGAAACAAACAATAATTAACGGTACTGGAAATTAAATATGGTCGACTTTCTAATATTTGCATCATGCACTAGCCATGTCTCTGCCCTACACAATAACAATGTCAACCATGCTGCACACTCCAGACGGAAAGTTTTTATTCTGACTCCTCAATATGCACCAGAGGCTTTGACAAGTCACAAAAATCATACCAACGAGGGTGGTGACCATCTCAGCGATGCAATGGCCAAAAATAGAAAGTCGGAGGAGTGGACAAGCGGATCACCCCAAGTGAGTGCTGGACGCTACGGAGATTCAGCGGTGTGATCCTGTAATTCTTCACACTGACGGCGCGGGATACACGCCAAAGCGTGCAGCGATGTGCGGCAGTCCATATCGCTGTCGCTTACATGTCTGCTCACCTGATCTAAGATAGTGATGAAAATAACCATTGTCCTGAAGGCGCAAAATGAAACCGCACGTAACTAAACTGGGTGGCGTTGGTCCTTCTTGTCTTCCAGGTTTGAAAAAATATGAGTTCTCATGTGTTTGGACCGATGCATTACAGGACATAGTGCTCAACAAGTATCAGTGGCTCATGGCATCATTCTCCGCTAAGGTTACTGGTTTAGAATGTGTACGGTTTTCAGCTGTTTGTGAAGTGAGATCGATAATTATGCTGTATGGTGAAAAATGTGAGCTGCCTCGACAGTGCTGTTTCAGCTTAGCAAAATGGTCATCTGTGTGAGAACGTGGGGCATTCGTATGGAACAAACACTTCAACACCGTCCAAAATGTTTCGGAACATCGGAGGCTCCGGTTGACGATTCAGTTGTTCACTGGTTAGCCGAATTTGGCAAGTTGGTTGTGAGAATACTCTCTTTGCAACCAATCAAAAATAATCCACTCATTCAGTATATGGATAAAAAACAATCAGGATAATTGGGTTCTAACGGGAACAAGCAAGTCATCGGAGAGTAATATCCGTGACAAGTCTGGAGGCAACAGATACAAGGCTAATGCCTCGACGATTTTCACACAAAGTAAGTGAATCCTACTTGAAGATGGGCACGACAGCCTGAACGCACTTTCTCAGTGTTTAAAATCGAGTTAAACAGAGAAGCGAGTCCAATCAAGAGTCACCACCATCTTTCAGTGAAGATAGTGGAAGGTAGCCAAGTCCAGGAGCCTTGTTTCGTTTCAACACGGAAAGTTCATGTGGAATCTCTTCCAAATTGGGGTTGTAACATCTAGTTCCCATGTCGCCTCAGGTGATTCAGAAAGCGGCAGTGTCACAGCAGGCCTCCCGAACTGTTCTCTAAAATGTTCCGCCTAACGGGCTAGTCGACGAGGCTGAGAATGGACCGTCTGTCTTTCCCAGCTGTTGTCTCAATACTAACTGGTGGCGTTCTCGGGCCCGTGTTCCGGATGACCTCGAATAGCACTCGGCTTTTCCCAATAGCATGGGCTTTCGCCATCTCACGGGCCCTTGCCATCCAGCAACAGCTCAGTTCCTTTGGACAACTACGGTCCAAGAACCGAAGTGCGAAAATTGCAGCTGCCAAGACACATATCAAAAGAATAATGATAAATAGCAACAAATAAGGTAATGGGGTTAAATGCAAATGGAATGTAAAGACAACGAAAACAAGGAGTGTTAGAGTAATCAGAATGGAACGAGAATCGACAATAGATGGAAGAAACCAAATGCAGGAAAGCCACTGACTGCGTGACCGCGCCATACCTGATACGGTCTCTAATCATTGATGTGGACCATTTCGGGGCCCCATTCACATTAGTCTAGCCAAGTCTCTCAGTCAATTTCCTTATGCCACTAGGCCACGTCATGGACTGGCCACCTCGCGGTTTCGCACAACTTGGTGCGGCCACGTTGTATAATGCACGCCGAGGAAGCCGATCAACGGGCATACAAAGGATGTGAACTAGCCAACGTAAGCGATTAAGATACAGTAAACACTCGAGTGAGGCACCAGAAGAATTCCTACCAAAAACCATCTGGCGGACCTCACCAGATGTGAGCGATATTCCGCAAGCACCGGTGATCAAACACTGCCAAACGTTTGATGTCTTCGCCGTGAACTGGCTAGGCCTCTAGTCCATACAGTAAGACCGGCCTTATCGCAGCATTATACAAACTATCTTTCACTAACAGTCTGATATCCCACCGTCTCCATAGATGGTTGAGTCTCTGGAAAACCACACGTGCCTTGTTGAGATGCGAAGTAACTTCCTCAGTGATGTGACCACCAAGGTGACACAGCTACCAAGGCAAGTGAACCGACCCACCACTTCCAGTGGATGTTTGGTGATGGCTAGAACCGAATGTGTGCCGGTCCAGTTCTGCAACAGACTTAACATGTAAAGGCGTGCAGCGCTACGAGTCAGTCTAACTAGTAGTTGTTGAATAGTCACCGCGTCAGATTCAAGGAGAGCTAAGTCACCCGCACACTACAGGTTTGTCAATCTACCACCTGGCAGGATTTCCACTCCGGTAGAGACCAGAAAATAGAGTCACTCAAGACCACTTCGATAACAAAGTTGAGAAGGAAAGGAGATAGAGGACAACCCTGGCGAACCCAACTTGTCGTGGGGAAGTCAGGAGACAGTTTTCCGTGGTCTCTTCTTACACGGCTTCGGGAGTCAAGGTAGACTGCATAATAGAAAAGAACTAAGCTGGTACGCCCTTCATGGATAGCCAGTGCTACAAGCTGGCGCAGTCAACAGGGTCGAAGGCGGTTTTCATGTCGATCTATGCCTCGGTGATCCATTTACGGTTACGACGTCTCAAGTATGGTGCACAGCATGCGTCAAAGGCATTCTTCATGGCACATCTGAGATGATCCCAGTTGGCGTTCACCACGCCAACCTCATTCCTCACTGACATTTGGTGGGCCAGTAAGTCATGAGAATGTTAAACTGCAGACTGCGAGTTCAAATTACAGATAAGATTAGCAGATAGGCGCTTCTTTGAAGCGGGAATAGTGAGCGCCAAGTGTGTGTGCATTAGAGCAAAGGCGGAACCCAGGCACGTGTTGCAAATTGACCGACAGACTTGGACTGGTGTGCGCCATCTGTAGCTGAAACCAATATGGTCAATTTGGATTTAAGTCATTGGGGAATTCGGTGGACGCCAGATGAGCGTTTGTGTTAGAAAGCAGTGCTGCTAATATGAAGGTCGTGGTCGGCGCACAGTTGCAGGAATCGATCACCATCGTCCGGTCGGCGTGCATCGAACCCGAAGCGGTTACCTAAGCGTTGTTCATAATCGAAAGTAGACCCACTTGGACATTCATGTCACCAGCAATACTTCAGATGTCAGTACTTATCGCCATCCGAAGAAGAGACGAGAGATGTCGATATAAATGGTCTTAGCTGCCCTCTGAACTGCATTCAATAGGGGCATAAACTGAGGCGATGAAATGGGACCTTGTCTTCAGACGGCTGATCACGGGTATCCAGTCGAGCAGATTGCCTTCAGGATGTTCGCTGAGGGCAATACCAACACCGTAAATACCTTGAGCCACTGATTCAGTATCGCCAGAGGCGTGAAGAGTGTAGTTATCATCGTCATATTTCGAAGCAGCAGTCGAAGATGTGTCACAACGCTGTCATCCTGTATGTATGTTTCGGAGACACATCACACATCAATACCAAGAGAGTGAAGATTGACAGTTAGTGCTGCATGCTGACTGATCTTACCCAGAGTGGGGACGTTTTAAGAACCAAGGTGGAACGACACTCAAAGGTTGATGAAAGAACCACATGTATCAACGGCAGCAGCTGCGAAGTTAGCGGCAGTCTCTTGCTCAATAGACGGGGAAAAGAGAAGGGAGAGGAGAGAAGAGTATTTTCGACGTAGTCGGCTGCTCATTCCGAGAGGGATTTTGTTCGAAGTGCCCTCCATATAGCCTTTGACTCAAGTCTGACTCAAGGCAGTGGGCACATGGAGGTCCGCTTGAGAGACTTCACCTGGAGCCTTTGGCTTGATAGCCTGACTCTCAATGCAGTGGGGAGCAAGTCTAGCTCGGGAGTGTGATTGCAGAGACCTGTTAGGAGCTGCCTGAGGCCTGTCACACACAGCCTTTGAAGAAGTACCAGCACCAAGTATTGATGTACCGAATGATCTAGCAGCGGATGGCATCTTTAGGAAGGCCTTAAGACAAGACACATAATAAAATCTACGTTGGGGACGAGACAAGCAAGGAAGAAAACGGCTTTATAAGTTAAAGGTGTCGCACTCAAAGCTCAAGACTCCCAAGCCTTGAATCCAAGGAATAGAACAAAAGTTACAGCTCACTTTTGGAAGTACAACAGTACAGTAACAGCTGCAAAAGGTCTGGTACTCGTGCAATTAAGCTAAATGCGAACATGGTAGAAAAATAAAATATAAGGTTAAGGTTGGAGCTGACAATGATATGCATTCAGAGTAGAGGTCAAAATATATCGGAGACTTGAATGTAAACAAATAGAATAGATGAAAAATACCTGACTTCATCTTCTGTTTTACCCTCTGCGAGCTGGGCCATCGCCTCCTCCCTGCGCTGATTAAGCTGAGCCATCAAAGTCTGTAGCTGGGAGCGAACCTCAGGGTCAATCATCCGAGCCTGATTTAACAAAGAGGATTGTTCTGCGATCTTCTGCTGCATCATCTAGGGTGCGCAAAAGATGAAAGCAGTGGGGAAAATGATCTTTTCTATATTATTAATTCATAGTTAAATAAGCTGTCCAGCTGCCTAACCAAATGTCGGCTCTAAGCATTAGATATTGCAGACGTTACGAGCAAAAATGCAAGGATACTTGTAAAAACAGCATACCAACAAGGGGCTAATTCAAACTAAGAGAGGGCAACATATGGGATGTGTAACAGGAAGGTTTTTGAACACAGAATTAAATAAGATCTGCAAATCATGCGTTTGTGTGATGAAGGGAACTTAAGTGTACGGGGACGCGCATGGCCCAAAATGACACTGACTGCCCGTGGGCGCGGCAGCGAAGTACTAATACAGAGCATTAATACAGCAGTGAGGTTGAAAATAGGTGCAAATAAGACCAAGTCATCATCCGCATACACTAGCTGAGGGTGAGAAACACACTTCAAAGGTTGTGCCGCAATAGTTACATATAAGATATGTGAAAAAGAAAAAGAACGTAAAAAATAGACAACACACTGCTTGGTAACGTAGTGTGTCTCAAGATAGTAATCGTGGTTGGAGAGGGAAGATGAGCGGGATGGAAAAGGACAAAGAAACTAACAACACAAAGGCCATTGAGGTCGGCTCCTAGCCATGTCAACTAGTGTATTAAACCAGACGTGTTCCTCGTTCTGTGAATCACAATCCGGAAGTCGGGACACACCAACCGACGCCAACTTCGAAGGAGCTTCATTCCGTCTAACCAAATCATCGCTTGGCCTCATCTCCTCTTCTTCCATCCACAGTACCGGCGCGCAAACAATGCACGTCGCGGGGGTCAGTGGGCTGGCGTGCGCAACACGTGGCCCAGCCATCAGAAATAAGGACACATAATGAGCAAAATACTCTGTTAGCTCTGTGCTGCATTATCCACAGATAATAGACAGTATTGTCAGTAATAAGAACAATGTGCTCCTCATTGAGCAACCGATGTATACTAAGTGACGCTCCGTAAATTGCATCCATAGATGCACGCATCAGGTAGATCAGCGATAACCGATTATACATACGGAAACGCTCTAATGTTTGGATCGAAGGCCAGAAAGGGAAAGGTCATCGTTTTCAAAAGTAGAGTCTTTAATATCCAATAAATAAGGCCTTCATCACCATCACCATATTACACATCAGCTCGGGGCGCAAAATACCTCAAGCATTGTACCGCAATAAATGCAGGATGACATTTATAAAAAGAAATAAATTAAAGAGTAAAAAGTACAAAAGAGAAAGAATAGTATGGTTTTTATAACGATGCATCAGCAAGTAGATTGTGGTTGGAGGGGAAGCTAAATGACAGATAGACGGGCAAAGAAGCTTACGACACAAACGACATTGAAATCGGCCCTTCGCTACGTCGACAAGTGTATCCATCTAAACGTGTTCATCGCCCTCGGGACCCAAGTCTAACGGTCGGGATGCACAAACTGGCGCCAAATTTAAAGTGAGAGTTTTCATAACACCTGACCGCGTCATCACTTGGCCTCTTCCATCCACACCGCGGTCGCGTAAGCAAGGAATGTCGCGCGAGTCTTTGTGTATGCATGTGTTACGGATGATCCAGCCATTAGAGTCCGGTACGCGAAGTGACAGTGCTGGGTGGTTCGCTTTCTCCTCTTGCTCCGCAAATAAGGCGGCTAACATGGCCATTGCTCATGCGGTGTTCGCAGTAAATATGAGCTAAACAACGAAGGCACCGGTGGTTGAACGTAACAAGCCTATTAACGCCTGTCAATCTGATGAGCCGTTTCACAGACGTAGAGGGTTGAGAGCACGTCCGCGTTGTAAACTCTAACCGTCAGGATAAGAGTAACGTCGCACCGGAGTCGCAATGTGCAGAGTTGAACAACAGCGCCTCGTGCTTTTGCTATACGGTTTGAGGCTTCATCTTTTATTTCGCAGATGCTGATGTAGCAGCCTAGATACTTGAATTTCTGGATGACTTATAGCCGATCATCGCAGGGGATGATCTCTGATCATCTTAGTGGACTTTGCACTTCGAGCGTGCAAAGCGCTACCTGAACCGACTGATAACCAATGCTAAGCTGTCCAGTTTTGCTAGGCACGTTTGCAGTAACCCAGTTTTTTACTTTAGTTTGATTTCGAGTTTTGGTGTACACTGCGATACTCAATCTACCACCACTTATTTCAATATTTGTTGCTGTCGTTTTTGCCATGAATTTCGCGTTTTCGTTCAATATTGCTATTAGGAAGTGACTAGTGCTAACAGGAGTAAGCAAGTTGCATGCCATCGCTGATTTTCACTTGACTCTTGAATGTGCAATACGTCGTCATTATTCAGGAAACACAATATTCCGAGTAGATCTCAAGTTAGAAGGTCATCGCCACCATACTTCTACCTCAACATTTTGTTAGTCGAACGCTGAGCTAATCTTGTGTACTAAACGGTACTCGTCTCGAGATACAATAATGCTATCAACAATCGGTTTCGACACGGATAGTTTCATGTTGCCCACCATATCCAACTTCGTTGTAAGCGCGACAGCGGGAGTGCATTAAAGATGAATCCAGGTTAGGGGGAAAACATCAACCGCCACTACCAAAAAAAATCATGTCCTAATGGATGTGATCATGTAAGATCGCCGACTAACAACTCGTCAGATAGCAGAGGTTGGGCATCGACTAGGAGCGAGCAGAGAATATTATTACGAAGGAGTTAGGCCACTCTAAAGTTTCTGCTCAATGGATGCCACGTCTTCTGACTCCTGAGCAGAAATGCATTCGACATGTGATGTCAAAGAACAACTTGGCATTGTTTGAGGCAGATGCCGATGAATTTCTTAGACGATTCATCAATATAGATGAGTGTGAGGTTCACCACTTTTAACCAGAAAGAAAAAAACAATCAAAGCAGTGGAAGTTTGCAGCATCTCCTACGCCAAAGGAGGTCAAGATCACACCGTCAGCTGGCAAAGTGATGGCATCCGTTTTTTGGTATTAGCGAGGCTTGGTGAACGAGTTCCCTGAAAGAGACCATACCATCATCAGAAAGTATTACTGTGAGTTTTTGAAACGTCTCAGAGAAAAAATTCGAGAAAAAAGGCCAAGCATGGTGACCAGAGGAGTCATTTTCCACAACAATGCACACACCTCTTTCATTGCTCAGAAAATAATCCGCGACTGCTGCTTCCAGCTTCTTCCCCACCCACTCTATTCACTAGATCTGGCTCCCTCTGACTACCACCTATTTCCAAACATGAAAAAGCTTTAGCTGACAAACGTTTTTTTCAACGACAGTGACGTCATAGAAGTGGTAGAAGCGTTTTCGGAGTTGCAATCTGAAGAGTTCTTTTCTACTGGGATAAAGACGCTTCAGCATCGCTGGAGCAAGTGTGTTGCATTTGAGAGTGATTATGCTGAAAAACAAAAGCATCGAAGACTGTATACAGTCTGGTCTTTTGGGGCCCAAAACTTTTCATTCAACCCACGTACTTCTTCATTACTCCCGGTTGTGACTAGCTAACTATTATTGTTAGCTCTTATTTATCCTTCAGGCAAAGAATGTCGATATTGTGATTACCTCTGGTGACATGAATGCACAAGTGAATAGCCTATCGAACTCTGAGCAACACCTAAAAGGCTGTTTAGGAGTCGATGCACACCGAGAAACGATACTGAACGATTCTTGCCAATATTTGCTGACTATTTTTTATGTTATCAGCATAAAGGTTTACACTGTGTTACCAGTTGCCTACCGATTTCCTTGATGGTGTAAAGGCCAAAATAAAATTAATTTCTTTCACTAAATGGATTACTCCCGTTTGATGACTCTGTCCCATATGCCCACCTAGTTCCACATTTTGGAACTGATAACCCGCTTTTCGCGATTTAAACCGTTACAGTCTCAAAGGAGTATCGCTACTCATGCATTTCGTTTGCATGCACTTCATGACTTAGGGTCATATTTTCATCAGTCTGCTACTAAAAATACGGGTGTGATTGTCTATTTCCTTCTGCTGTCCGCAAGTTGCATGCATGAGTTCCAGCTTGCACATCATTCTACCCTTTATAATCACGGTTACAGGATTATACTACAAGCTTCTGCCAAGACGGTGCGTATAGTCCAGGTTTATAACTCAAGGCGGCATTAGTTATTTACACTTCGTGCGACGTAATTATAATTCGCGAAGTTTTGTCGTTACAGACGACATATACCCTAATTGACCAGATTTCTATCAGCTATAGATGATTCACATTATTACAAGATTCGCGGTTAAGTTGAAGGTGCTTAGATGTAGACCATTTCACAATGTGCGCCTCAATTCTAAGCTTCTCACTTGTAATCTGAATTCATAGTTCGCAATGCAACAATATCACAACATAATAGTTCAAAAGTTGGCAGTCATAAATGAAGTTGGTGAGCTGAACGCCAAAGGAAATCATATCGAGTGCAACATGAAGAATTTCTTTGATGTCTACCGTACGCCCAAATTGAGACATCCGAACTGGAACGGATCAATTTGTTTGAAGCAAGCAAACAGGTTCCGTTAGATACTGTATTTCAACGTATCCGTAACGCCATGAAGGAACGAATGATAAGGGATTTGCGAACTGAACGGAAACGCTGGTGGATGAGCAAGGACTCGTGAGATGGAAAAAGCCAGTGATACCGGGAACAACCGAGTGTTGCTCTAGTAGATCTACAGCAAAAGTCCAAGAAAACCTGTTAATGAAACAACAATGGGGAAAGATCGACAGTTGATCAATTCGCAGCTGCGTCGAACATTTCCCCAGCCTTACTGTGACACATGCCGTTTACTGAGTCATCTGAACTTACGCGGGAACTCGATGTCATACCTACTACTCTGAAAGATATTCAATATTAACTAGTGTAGAAATGAGGCAAGGTCCCTGAACGCAACGACCAACTTGCACAATCTTTGTTGAAAGATAGTGGTCTGATTGGGTAAGGCTGAAGAACTTGTGAGAACAGACTGCGACGC